TGATAGAAAAAAAGGTTTTTTTTTGGTTTTTAACTCATATGATTTCATAAATTAATTACTTTTACATTTTATTTAATTTTTTTTCCCCTTTACCAATTCAAAGGTAAAATTTTAAAGTCTAAAAACGGGGTAAAGATTAAAATAAAATCAAATAAATTTAAAACTTTTTATTCGTTAGTTGGGGTCTGCCGGGGTTTTGACCCGCTGGGGGGACCCTTTTTGTTGGGTTTTTTAAATTTTCAAAGAGAGCGACCAACAGTTTCGGGGTTTTTACAAACCCCGGGAACAATCCCCAAATTTTTGTCGCTCGTTTTTTTAAAAATTCCCAGACGAATCCCCCCAATTGCGTTATGTTTTTTTAAAAACCCCCGGGAAAGAGATCCGAAATTGTCGCCCCCCCAAACGGGGGTTAAATACCGGATTATTTGTTTGTGGGGGTTTTAATTTAAACCCATGCCCACCCCGTGAAAAACCCGGGGACTTATCAAAGCTATTTTTGATCCTAGAAAATCCGGGATACCCAAGAAAACGGGGTTTGGCTCTTTTCCATAAATAAAGTTGCTGAAACTTGTACCACGGAAAGGAAAAGGGATAGATAATATCTGGTCCCCCACTGGGGATATAATCCGGGTGCTCTTTTAAAACCCCGGGCGACTGGCCCTCCTTTCCGGGCCCATTCTTAAGCCCCCTTCAAGTGATTTAAATTTTTGGGTTACGAAAAAAACAAATATGCAAAAAGAAAACTTAAACCAAATTACAACATTTCCTCAAAAATTTTTTACGCCCATAAAAAAGATTTTTTTTAATAATCAAATTAAAAAAAATGAACTTTTTTGGGCAAAGTAGAGTTGGTTTATTTATAGGACAAAAAGTTGTACATAAATTGCTCATCAGGACATTTCTGGGCTTGGCCCCCTTTTCTTTTTTTCCCCAGTTTGTCGCCCCAAATGTTTTCTGGGCGTTTACACTCGAGGGTTTGGGCAAAATTGATGCCTACTGCCCCCTCCCAATTTTGGAACTGGAAAATAAAAACCACGATGCCAAAAGTTGGGGTCTAAAGGTTTAAAGGTTTAAAGCCCAACGGGAGGGAAAATTGCTCGCCAGGATCTCTATCAAAAATATAGATTTAACCCTAATTTTTGGGTCTTACCAAAAAAATAAAACCACTGCCAAATTTCCCTGTCCCAACTTGGTTAACCCAACGATGGAAATGTGCTCAAACGGATCCTTTCCCAAACCTATATTTTCACCCTTTAAACTTTTATCAACTCCCCCTTTACATTACCCTAAAATCATTCTCATTGGGATACACGCCCCTTTCCCCTGGGGGGTTTTAATTTTTTCCCTGTCAGCAGTAAATGTCCCAAAAATTTTAAATTCCCACGCAAATGATCTCCTGGTTCATTAAGCTGGTCCCAAACTAGACTAGTCACAACCTCCCGTCTACTTCACAATAAATTAGACGGTGTCATTCTCTGCAACACGTTTCCGCTCACTGTGCAATAGTGACCGTCGACCTGCCGTCGAGTTAGGTAACCTATGGGGAAGTAAACACACCATTAGCCGTAGTTAGCTGCTCCTAAATTCTGGCTAAGAGATAAATGCTGACCCACGATGGGGTGCAAATCTCCAGTCAGTAAGTCTGCTTGTCCAGTCTTTCTCTGTACCTTAACCACTTAACATCTGGACAAAAGTGTAGTGTTTTGATATGCCCGCGTCCAGGCATTTAAAGTGTGATTTGGTGTTCATTAAGGATGTATCCAAATCCCTATTTTCCTGTATACTTTCAAAATACAAAGAAATAAAAGTAGGTTGAGGAAAGACATTCTGGAGTCACCGAGCGTATTGTCACAGATTGCAGGCCGCTGGAGGTTAATTTACTGATCTGGTGGTATGTTGGAGCTTAAACGCACATGCTAATGTGTTTTGATATTTGCCACCACTGATGTAATTTTTCTGAACGTTTGTGTTTATTGTCATATTTCCTTGTTAGCTAGAGTTGGTAGCACATAGTCCGTTCGAACACGATGTTGGTTGCTAATGTAAAGTTATCTGTGAAGCACTTAATATTGTGTTCAGGAAAATAAACAGATTTTGAATGTGATGGTTACATTCATTTGCTTGATTCAAGAGATAACTTGTAGTTCGTGCACGTTGTCTGACTAGGCTTTGCCTATTTAGTTGTAGTTATATGTTGTTGTTGTGTAACATAGTTATTCTCATTTTTTAAGCAGGGGTTATGATCATATTTCATGGTCCCTGCACAAGAACCTCTTTTCTGTACTCTTCCTGTTGTTGCTGTTCAGCGAAGAACTACTTATTGTCCTAACCACATTTCTTTTCTCATTTTCTCGTTTTTCAAATAGTAAGTAAAAATAAGTAGTGTAATTATTTACACTCAATGGACATCTAAACAGAATACAGCCACAACAATCCCCGGAGTGACAGCTATGTAACTACCCCTACGAAACTGTTGACCATAATCTCTTTGAGTGCCTAAAACTCAGCGAGACTAGAAGAATGCTACTCCCTCAGAGACCAGACAGGTGGAACACTTTGTACGGAGGAAGAGAACAGCTTGTGAAAACATGTAAATTTCACAACATGGCATTGGGACAAAGGGCGAAAGCTCTTGCGCCGTTGGATCATAACAATAACCTTTAAAATAGTTCCCTTCAGTAACTTCAAACTTTTGCTAATGTTCATACAGTTGTTGGAAAATTTGCTGAAACCCATTCGTTGTCACCCGTTTTAGCTGCTTCGTCGCACTGGCGAAGCTCCCGCGGCATCCTTGAATCGCCGCCCTTTCAATGCATATTTTAGCCGAGGGTAAAGAAAAAGAAATCTGACTGTTCGCCATTTTCCAGGGCGTTTCCTTCTACGCGGTAGTGAAGTGTGCAATCTATTGTTCTGTCATCAGAAAATAGTCCGCAAACACTCAATGAAAAGCTGACAAACCTGGTGAAGCTGCCCGTGATGGGATAAGAGGAGACAAAAGAAGCCAACATGTTTGTGACCCCGCTGGCCACCATTTCCTGGGTCGGATCTATTTTGTAGTTATTCACCCTCGCTGAAAAGTGTACAGAAGCATTCAGTTAACGGTTTTTGTGTTAGTGTTTGTGTTTTTGTGTTTGACTATATGGTCGTCGTCGTCTTCTTCTTCCTCTCAAAGTTGACCAGCTGTAAACACCGACAGAAAGTTTCGGTTTTTTGTGCACTTCTGGTCTATAGTCTTGTACCAAAATTTGAATAATGCGTGCACCCGTTTTTCGATCTGACTTATTTGTATGCAAACTGTTGGTTCTTCGTCTCTGTAGTAGATGCATTCCGACCTCGAAGGAATCACGCTTAATCAGTCGCCTGTTACGACATATTTGTCAGGGTGATAGTGGGTCTATTCTTTTCCCTGACAATAGGCTTCTGCAACATTACTACTGGGTGAATGGAAGATACTTATAATAATAAGTAAAGGAAAGAGCCCTTGTTATGCCTTTAGGCGCATCGGGCGTATGGGAAGAGCACCAATATTTTTATAGACCACAGGTGGGTAATGTGGTCAGCATTACGCCGGTCGTCTTTACTTCCCTAGGACACATACCCTGGTAACCATTTTAGGCTGGGTCGACCTGCGCCTCCACAAACTACGATAAAATCCACGCAGCCAGCAGTGGGTTTTGAGCACGGTACGTTGGAATAACGAGTCGGACTCGCAACGCCAATGCCACAGACGCCATAAATTTAATAATATATTTGAAATAATATGACATTTTTAAACAGATACTTTTAAAGCGAAAACCCGAACTTGACTGAAAACAGCACAGTAGTCAACTTGCAAAATTATTGGTGGTCGTGGTGGTTGGGGGGGGGGGGGGGGGCGGGGGGTCAGCTTCCAAATTCCTGTGTCTACAAACCCAGTGTCTCGTAATAAACGTTATAAATATACTTTAAGGGTTAGATCTAAAGAGTCGTGGGTTCGAATCCGAATGAAGCTGGATTTTTTTTTCTGTAAAAATGTCGCAGGTCGACCCAGCCTTGAATAAGTAGCAGACAAAGTCTTAGGAAGTAAAGGCGGTCATATTGACCACATCCCTACCGAGTGCCGACTATTCTATAAATGATAGGTCTAGCGCTATATTGCGCATAAAGGTCTGGAAAGGGGTCCTTTCTTTACTCTAACGGTTTGCAGAAATCGGATGGGTTGAGCCGAAAGGTGCAGATCTCGCAGCTCGGCTGTAAACTACAACAAAACCTGCTAACTGCACTGTTATGGACTATCGTAGAAGAAGATATAATTATATAATTAATTACACACAGGACTGAAAAACTGATTTTAAGATACAACAAATCAAAATATACCTTAAAAAAGAATGGATACGATATATCCCGAGAAGCAGGACCGCATGGACTCACTGGGCACTTTCTCCGGGGGGCGCCACGAGTACAGGTGGCCAGAGGTCATCTTTGTGTCTCAAGTGACTTGCCGTCTATACAAAGTTCATTCCTGTGAGTGCCTGTCGTAGAGGCCCCAGCACCTATGTTTTCCCAGAGGCCCCATAATGCCGTCAAGACGCCTTTGCCGAGAAGTGGCAGTAGCGCAGTGGTTTGAAGCTACACATGTCGACCCGAAAGAAAAAACAACTCCGTGGCCAGGTGGTCAAGCCGTTTGCCTCGTGCTCTGAAGATCGCGGCGCCGTTCAGTTCACCAGTAATATTTTTACAGAGATCCCTAGTGATCGTCGCCGTAGCTACGGAGTTCATTCTTTGTTCAATACTCTCGACAGGCGGTTAGCTGTTTTGCCAAGGGAGACAGAGACATATATGATAAAACCCGGTGCAATGAAGTCGACTCTCTCGACTTTAACCTTTTAACTTTATGTCGACCCGAAAGACTTGGACTTTTTTATTTTAAAATTAGAACTGAACTCGCTCTGAGGACCAGCATATTCTAAATGTGTACCAGGTTATTGTCCTGGGAAGTAAAGGTGATAGACATAATGTTTACCACACCACCCACTGAGAACGTACTGGTATATAACAATAGAGTCTAGCATCATGCGCCCGATGTGCCACTGGTGTAAGAAGGGTCCTTTACTTCCCACTTGTACTTATATGTGTCGGAGGGATGGTGGGGGGGGGGGGAATCAGAATAGACCTCTAAACATCGTTTTTTCCACGCCCCCTCCCTCCCCCTCCCCCATATCCTGCTTTACGCATCTTTACGTCACTATGGCAGGCTCGATTTGCTGGTGTGGTGTGATGTTGTGGAGTCCCAAGGTATCTATGACTCCTTCAGTTCATCTTCTTTTTGTGGATCGATCATTATCTCTTGCCGTTTTCATGCTGTAAGTTCTGAATACTGGCATCATTGAATTTATTCTCATTAAATGGCCAAACCATTCCAGTCCTTGTTTTTCACTGAATTTAATTATAGGTGCTCCAATTGTTCTTCACATGATTCTTTTTTTTTCCCCCAGAACCTTTTTAGATATCTCATTTAGCAGGTGGTCAGTATTGTTGTTATATCCTAGTTATAATACTGGTTTACAAACCAAATGACATCAGGCACTTACCAAACGCTTTTCCTATTGCCATGGTTTCCACCAGGGATATCAGGGGTACAATGGCCAAACCAGGACCAATTTTCTGCGTGAAGTGGGAGAAAAATGTTTTTACGGCGACGCGTGTTACAAAATATTCACCACGCTTAAACAGTAGAAAAAATGACCCTGGCTTCCAGTTCCAGCCAAACCTGATTATGTACCAGGTAAAGTCCGGGGAAGTAAAAGCGACCGGCGTGATGTTGACCACGTCACCCACCAAGTGCCGATTGGTCTATAAAAAAATAAAGGTTTAGCCCTATATGCCCAATATGTCTAAAGGCGTTGTAAAGGGGCCTTTTATTCTGTAGAGACTGACCAGTTGTATCAATAATCTCAACTATAAAGTAGAATTATCGCCGGAGCAACGGAGTTCGTTAACTGTGTTTGATACCTTCTCCATTAGACAATGAAGAGAGATCGAGAATTAGAAGGGTAAATGGGGATGTGAGAAGAAGGAGGAAGAGGAGGGCAGGTTTAAGAAAAAACTAGATCAAAAACGGAAAGACGGCATGACATCTTTAGAGCAGGTTATTGGAATAGCCGCGGCACACCGCAGAGAGGCCCAGTTCTGGAAAGATTATTTGATGATGTTGACAACCTAATGCTCCAAGAGGTTATGACGGCCAGGTTGAAATGTTGTAGTATATTATTATATCAATCCACAAGGGCAGGGGAAACGTGGGGAAGCTATACTAGAAAAGGACGGAGTGCAAAGTTCGGTGCTTGAAATGAATCAATGGAACCAGGGTAGGGAGGAGTTTCAAGGGATGCAACCCAAGATAGGGGGTTCCATGTGGAATACGTGTATATTGCGTACTACAATCCTTTGTTACATTGAATAGTGGGACTGGCTGAAAGAGGTCGAAAAAATACCATGTGAGCGAGTCCTTACATGTGGAGACTTGCACCCATGCGTATATCTTCTTCTTCTTCGCGTTCACCAGCTGTACACTCTGGCGGAAAGTTCTGGTTGTTCGTCCACTCCTGGACTGCAATCATGCTCCAGAACCTGAGTGTTGCGTGTGCATCAGTTTTACAGATCTGATTTACTTGAATCCAGACTGTTGGTTCCGTGTCTCTCGGGCAGATGCACTCCGACTTCAAAGGAAGCTCTTAATTAGTTGACTCTTACGACATGCTTTTGGGTAGCCAGTTGGTCTATTCTTGTTTTCCCTATAACGGGGCCCCGGAACCCACACGGGGACCATGCGTATCTGAATGGGATCAGTCAGGGGATAATAAGTAAAGAAAAACCTTGGAGGACGCCCTGGTGGAATCTTTCTCATCTTTGTTGTTATGATTTTGCTCTCGTTAATTTTAACAAAGGTCAACAACTTTTTACACTGATATCATAGTGCTAGCAAAACCTTTTTTTTTAAGAAACCCCCGATATACTTACAGAAAAAATCTCAGAACTAGATATTGTGTTATTGCCATCTTGAATCTCAAACTTGGGAGGTTGAAATGATGGTAGACCAGGTTTGATGTCTCCGGTAAGTCCAATCGCGTCTGTGATTCCTTGACTTTCCAGGGCGGCTGCCACTCCTGAGGCAGCGATAACTACAATGGCGTTACCACCTGTGTATCAAAGGGAGCAAGATATGAAACCTGAACCTTTCTACAACAGAACGTTTGCACAGACAACACTGATGAGTACTTATTCATCTTGTAGCAAACGATCTTCTCCGTGGAGGTTACCCACAATAACCTGTTCATCCTCCTCTTCTTCATCATCATCATCTTCCTCAACGTCCAAGTCCAAGTCCTTTTGAGAAAAAAAAAAAGAAAAGCTCGACCACGTTCAGACTGCTGCTTGCTGCTAGCTAGCCTAGGCTACTAGCAGTCTCCGCCTATTATTTGTCTGGTTTGGGTTATTTGCGTCACTTTCGTGACTGAATTTTAGTGTTTGGGGGCCATTTCTGGGTTTGATGGGCTTCCATCCGAATCAAACCGCTCCGTCATGTTGTCACTGGTTTGCATGTGTTCCTTCCTCTTTCTTGGTGTTTTTTCTAAGTTTGTTCTGTCTCCCTTTGATCTGGCGTGTGCGTATCTCGAAGGAGAGCGAGCTTCCATACACAACGTCCTTTGGACCACCATTTATTGTTTTAAAATTTTGAGTATTTTAAATTATGCCAAAAAGTACTGAAAACAGTTTTTGAATTTGAATAGGTTGCGAAATGGTGAAAATGTTCCGTGGCGGTGACCATAGTGGTCTATAGTTGTTCTCCTGTAATATGAACGGGGCAGGTTAGTCATGTAATGGATATGTTGTGTGAGTGAGTTTATGTGGGGGACTTAAGCGGGTCCAGTCGTCATCTGATATTATGTGGTCGGTTTGTGTGTTGACAGCCTAAACTCCGGTGTACGTAAAATCCATATAACCGGAGCATCCAGGCTCACGCTTTAGAGAATGCAAAATGTTCGGTCGATGAGAATTGCTGTGGCATGTTGGGTTAACGAACTCAAGTGCTCTCTGGTGGGAAATGGGTTGGAGGGGTTCAAACTGGTAGGTGGGGGGCAACCGAAAGTTTTTGGAAGGGTTTGGTTTAAGGGTAGTGCGGTGAGGTTTGTTGTGGTGGTTTTAGTCGTTATGTTTTTGTGTCTTGGGTGGATTCTAGTGTGGCCTTTTGCCGGGATCTATGTGTTTCACGTTACCAACCTTGGGTATCATCACAGGTGACAGGGGGTGGTGGTTTTTTTGGTGTTTTTTGTTTTAGCCCTGTCATGTTTTGAGTCACTGATTTCCTTATTTGGTGTCAGTCGTTTTTGTGTTTCATGTCGGTCATGGGCATGTTGTTTTGCATTTGTTGAATGTATCTGGTTCTGTTTTATGAATCCCCGGAGCAACATGGACGCACTTAACTTACGTGGTATGACGACAGGCCTAGGTGTTCTTCCTCAACATCGTTTTTTATTAAATAATGGGGGGGGGGGGGAGGGGGGGGTTCAAAGTGTTATTTCTTTTTGTTGTTGTTACCCAATGACAGACGGAATTGGGTTATGGGTACTGTGGTTTATTTGGGTTGCGCGCGTGAGGTGTGTCGTGTGTGTGTTTGTGTGGAGTCTCTGTGTGTGTATGGGTTGTCTGTGGAGTGAGTGTGTGTTGTGTTTCTGTTTTGTGTTGTGTTGGTTGTATGTGTGTTTTTTGTTTTTTATGTTGTTTTGTGGTTGTGTGGTTTGTGTGTGTGTTATCTGCGAATGTTTGCGTTTGTTTGTGTGTTTTGTTTTGTGTATCGGCCGAACTTGGTGTATTTGCTTGAATGTGTGTGTGGGTTGTTTTGGGTGTCGGTGTATTGAATTTGTTTGTTTTCTTGTTTTGTGTGTGTGTGTGTGTGTTTGTGTTTGTTTTATATCCAGAAGAGCCATGAGTTGTTAACCCCTTTGGCTCGGTTACTATGGATTATCGCAA